GAGAAACGTACTGACTGTGGAATTACTGTGTACTAAAAGTTTGTATCAAGAAAGAATAAACTGGTTTAATCAAGAAGAGACTTACTTGTATCACTGAAGTTCCTCAGAAATAATTTATACCGGAAATTAGCAAACAAGCAGAAATGCAACAAATTGGTGTCAGAGAGTGGGATGGAAAGAAAAAAAAGAAGAGGGAAACGAGAAGTGGCAAATCAAACTACAACTTAGTAGATTTGATGGCAGGAATACAAGAACAGCAAAATAAACAAGAAGAACGAGAAAATAAACAAGAAAAGAGACTGCAGAAGTGGTTGGAAGAGAAAGAAAATGAACAAGAGGAGAGACAACAGCAGTGGCAAGAAAACCTGCAACAGTGGCAGCTCGAACAGCAAAATAAACAAGAGAGATTACAGCAGTTGCTGGAGGAAAAAGAAACAAAAACAAGAAGAGAGACTACAGCAGTAGTTGGAAGAGGAAGAAAATAAACAAGAAGAGAGACTACAGCAGTGGTTGGAGGAGAAATAAAATAAACAAGAAGAGACACTACAGCAGTGGCAAGAAAACCAGCACCAGTGCCAACTGGAACAATAAAAGAAACAGGAAGAAAGTCTCCAACAGTTGAGAGAAAGCCAGCTTACACAAATGGAAGAGATTAGTAAATTTCAAAGTGAATTAAATACATTAAAATACGATTTACTGTCTTTTATACAGAGAGGATATATCAACCATGGATCTAATCAGCACCAGACATTAGAAAGCTCCTTTCAGACCCTGCAGCTAAACCCTAATGCAGACATCTTCAGTCCTGCCAGACGTCACATTCCAGACATGAGTGTCAGCAATAGGGGTGATCTAGTACGAAGGAAGCCACAGGAATTCGATGGGAAGGCAACATGGATAGCATATAGAGCACAATTTGAGCTCTTGGCAGAAATTAATGGATGGACAGAGGAGCAGAAAGCAGTGTACCTAGCAACGAGCCTGAAGGAACAACTACTGGCAATACTTGGACAGTTATCAGCAGACGACAGGCACAACTATAGAGCCCTGGTAGCCGCTCTAGAAATCAGGTATGGAATTCAAAATCAGTCCGAAG